AGACTATTTCATTTAATAAATGTTTTGTTTTGATATATAAGCTCTTCGGGTTTTTCCATCTAAAAAAAAGCGACATTTCTCGACGACCTAATAAAAATACTTCAACAGGTAACGGAAAAAGATGAAATAAATATAAGAGAATTCTTAAAAATAAGAAACGTGAAGAAACGAAATAAGACACCAGAAACGTGTCATTCACACATCTCACCCACATCTGTGGTTTTTCACCTGTTTCTTGCACCGGAGGTTCAATGTGAAAATTTCTGCTAACAGGTGTGATAAGGTATCCCATGGACAAACCTTTATTCTGTTTGTAAGTTCCATTACCCACCTTTAAATAACTATTAGTTACAACAGCTTTGTTATATTTATAATACTATATACTTCTAGACGTGAAAAAAATTTACTGGCTAGTAACCTGTTTTCAAAACAACACAATACTTCTTCTATTGGTACACTTGTGAACAATGATACTACATGCAACGAAACTAATCAATCATGTCTGTATTAATATTCTAAATCTCAGTAATAAATTTAGACGAATTCTTCACTGCAAATATGTGAAAAAATAACGTTTTTAAAGAACGAACATAGAAATAAAATTTGTTGATGATCCTCCGTTATAAACAATTGAGCGAAATGATATCCGAATATTATGAACCTTCGGAATGGCATAGAAATGAGGTAAAATAGAATGGGACACTATAAGATCACTTTGTTCATTCATTATTAAGTTACAACAGGTACTCTGTACCCCATTCGTTGGGTCTTTCTTTATTTCATTATATAAACCATTTTAAATATTACCTTTGTAATTGCTTTTGTCTAATTTAACAATCTGTCCTCCTTTATCTGCTTTAGAAATTACAATGCTTTTGATGAAACTTTGTTGGAAGGGTAGCAACTGCCTGTTGTAGAAACACAAGTGTAAAGGATGACGTTTCGAAAGTCTTCCGCCTTTCGTCTTCAGAAGGCGGAAGACTTTCGAACCGTCCATTCAACAAAGTTTCATCATGAATATTCTACCTAAACAATCTATCAAACAATACAATGTTTTATTATTTCTAATTAGTTGAAGTTGGTTCACCTAACAATTATGGAAGTTACTTTTTAACTTTTTGGTACCAGAAGTAAGTAATTTTGTTACTGTCGTTCGAACAGTATCCTTTATAACATTATCATCAACTTTAAGTTGTTTCAACTGACCTAATTAGATCTTTCATTGACATCCTGTTATCTATAGAAAACTTCAAACCCAGTTTTAATTTGCTCTGCTGCAATATTTTTTTGACAGGTTTGCTATTTTAGGATTATTCAGTGGTCTAGCAAGCTTTTTATTTAGTAGGATATGAGCATTTTGTAAGTTACTTTTAGGACGTGCATCTTTCTTAATTACGTTATTCAGTTTCTTTTCCAAAATGTTCTTATGTCTCTATCGTACATTTCCCATTTCCACCAACTAGTTGCTTCAAATATAACCCATATCAACTTTTGTATAATCCTAGCTAATGTTTTGTATAATCCTAGCTAATGTTTTGTATAATCCTAGCTAATGTTTTGTATAATCCTAGCTAATGTTTTACAGCTGGAGACTTCAACTTATTTTATTATATACGTATATATTTAAAAAAAAGGGACAAGTGTTGGAAACTCGATTACTCATGTCTTCCTTTTTTTGCTATATATATATACAAGAAAATATAGTTAATAACGTAAACAACTGTGTTTTAAATTCAAAACTAACATTCTTAATAATGCAATTTGTACCTTAAATCCATTGTGGTCATAAGAAATTTGTTTCAGCATGGTCTGCCTCGCTGCTTAGCAATATTCAAGACTTACTGACAATATAAATCTTATAATAATGATTATTACAAAGAAATTTAATTTTTTTGTTGTTCATAAATAGCATAATTACAGTAATACATACAGGTACAGATACGACTTCATTACCCCTTCCAGGGATTCCGTCTCTTCCTGGAGGACCCTAAGATAGATAAAATGTATTAGTTCCAAGCATTTCTTCCTATATAAAAATGTTTGTCATTTTTTTTTGTTGGTATTGGTTGGCAACTCATTAATCATTAATATGTAACTCATAAAAGCAGTAAAAGATAATACAAGTACAATTACCAGATTTTTGTAAATAGTAAGTAGTCGCGAAAACTAAACCAAATTTCAATCAAAACTAACTTCTATATCAATGGCGCATTTTCCGTGTTACCGCGTTTACTGGCGATAAACCAACTTTGGTAGAATTAAAAATATTTGATTCTCGTCCATTACTAGCACAAATATATAATTAATTCAGTTTTGAAAAGACAGTGACACAATATGTTATTTACACGAGATATAACCATCGTTGACTGCAGTGGCTGTGCGAGTACTAATTACATGTGTCATCTATGGTGATTGGTGCGACGAAGATAGTTCAGTCTATCAGCGTGTGTTAAACACCTTGGAAGTATATCTCTCAAGATTGCGGTGCAATGTAGGGTAGTAAATGCCAGATGGCGCAAATTTAGTATTATTTATTATGTTAAGTGCTAATTTGTCTTTAGTTACGCTTATTTCCTGATGATTTTGGATATTTCTATATATTTTGATTGCTATTGTACAAGTATATATATACACAATATGTATAAGTGCGATAAACCAAAGTCACCAGCCAGGATACGCCACTGTTCTATATATACATACATCACTCTCATATTAACTAGGCTTAGTGTACAGACATCAAAGACAATATATTTTAATCCTTCAGGTACAACATTATTAGTAATCAGACTTACGGGAGGTCCGCTTGGGCCTATTGGTCCTGGAAACCCTCGTACTCCTCGTTCTCCCTAAAGATACAAGAGAAAGAAACTGATGTGCAAACAGTTTTTTCACTTGTTATTTAAAGAAATATATAATTTAGAATGGCCAGTTTATCGGTACATATATATGTAGATTTATTTTTATATTCCCAAAATTAAAATAGTCATAGAGTTGTATTAATTCAGACTTACAGGTGGTCCTCTATCGCCAATTCTTCCTACTTGTCCTTTTTCTCCTGGTTCCCCCTAGTGGAAACAGACCACAAGAAATAAAAAAAACACGTATTATAGTACTCTATCAACGATTGGTCAATGAAACTAGTTTGTGCATTTTTTATTTTAGTAGAATATACTATTTCTTTAAATACCAGTATAACTTTTACGTACATCTTATAGACAGGAATTACGTCACAAACATATCACCCAAGCTATGCATAATCCAAGAGATCAAGAACATAATCAATATCACTAATTCTGTAATTTATTTAATAAAACTTTGTAAAATATATATACAAGTAATTATCATTAACCATTTATCTTTACGTCAATAGCACAGTATTTATTTTATTTGAATATAGGATAATTGAAAAGTACAAATGAAATAATTTGTATAATATTTTGTAGTCATCCAAAAGTGATACAGTTTTATTCTGGAAAAATATTTTTCTTTACAAAACTAAAAAGAAATAAAACAAAAAATATTCGAATATCACCTTCTTTCCTGGAGTTCCGACAGGTCCTGGCAATCCCTGAAGACCTTGTTCTCCCTGCAAACACAATAAAGGTTCAATAAAACTAAACCTGGACTCAACAAGACAAATGTTCGTAATTCATTAAGACAATTTATACAGTGCAGGATGTAAGCTGAAAGGTTTAAATTTAGTTGAAAATGTTGTAGTACAGGATAATTTCAATATATTGTGGTTATTCAAAAAACAAAACGTGAATGAAATGCTACTCTTACCTGAAGCCCTGGAAGTCCAGGTTCTCCTTGAGGTCCAACTGGCCCCTCTACCTGGAGAAACATTTATAACTTATTAGGAATGAGAAAGACTCTAGAATGTTTGGATTATTAAAGAAATTGAACATCAATTCTCATAAAAAATTTAAACTTTTTCTTCCTAATCTGCTTCCACTCGGAATTACTAAGAAAATTTAATTTTTCTCATTACTATGCACAAAGGATCTGTATAATAACAACGTACTTGCTTCATAAATGAAGAATCTTTCCAAATAAATCGTGTATTTATCTTATCTCTTTTCAACTTCATAATAAATAGCCATATAAGACAACTACCATAAAATTACCAAACATTATTATGCAAAATTGGAATTAATTTCTACTTTTAGAATCGCTTGCTTTTTTTTATCTATCTACCTATCTGGCAAGTACTTCTCAATTAAATAGAATGAACTCACCACGACTGCATCACCTGGCTGTCCTGGTGGTCCTCTTGGTCCCATTGCTCCCATGATCCCCTACAGAAAACGTAATAAAGACCCATCTTACAGCACTTATTACATTACAGCTAACACGGTCATCCAAACTGAAATCAGTGGGGGAAGGCAAGTAAATTTTTATTTGAGAAATTAGAAAAATGTTATTTATCTTTCTTTTGCATGATACTGTTTATAAAATGTATTAAATAATAAAGTTTTAATCATAAATGATAAGAAAAAGAAAAGCAAATTTTTCTAAATGCTTTTCTTTTTAATGTATACGAAAGGCATGCTTTCATTTTGAGAATTATCCCTATGAAAAATGGATTCCTCTGTTTAATAAAGATAAATTCTTAATTGCATAAGATCTCTTCATTCTGAATCTGAGCGATTACTTTTAATTGGCTGTTATTGAATACCATATCATAATTATCAAATTCACGATGTTGTATGCTGAAGCAGCAGTTCACTGTGTTACATGAATATTACTTTGTCTATTGGGATTGTTTTGATCTTCCAATCGTACAGTATTGGAAATAATTATAGCAACATTGAATAAAATGAGTTTAAAATGTAAATATTATGAGATTGCGCCCCTTCTATTGTATGCAAATGAATCGTACGAGAGTACAGCCACATCATAATAGTTTAAACTGTAATTGGCTGTCATCCAACTAAACAGACAATGCCAATTCAGCATAATGTCTATATAAGTAAAGACAGTCATACTATTATCAACAGTATTGTGGTGATTGCAGTCATGTCTTCCAGGACATTAATGCCACAAGGCCATATAGAAGTCAAAGTTTTGACTGATGAATGCTACTTCATGCGAAAGATTGAGGCGAAATTTCATGTTTCAGTAGAAGTTATACAGAAATTCTGAAGAGGGCATGTGAAACTAGTACTTTTTTAAATAGAAGTTGTCGAGATAGAAACCCCAAATTATTTATAAGCGATATTAAGTTACCCGGGATATGCTCTTTACGCAATACACGACAGCCCAGAAGAGATCATTCTCATGACCCAGCAGTAAGCACAGGTGTGATTGTTATCTCCAGAATAGTAAGATACACATTAGCAAGAAGTGACCTCAGTCGATGTGTAGCTGCTAAAAAAAAACCATTGCTTAGGAAAGAGAATCAAATGAAAAGGCTGAAAAGGGCATCATACAAATTTCAAACAATGTGTTAAGTAAATCTGGTGTTCTTTAGAGTTGAATCAAATTTAACTTGTTTGTCAGTAATCAACAATAGTTTGCTCGATGGCAGAGAAAGGAACAATTTCATGGTTTATGTACAATATCTACAGTGTAGCCACAGCCAGTTGTGTTAGAGATCTAGATAAAACTGATGGCACCTTAACTGCTGATAAAGTACACTTAGATTCTGATTCATCATGCCATTCTTTGAAGAACTGGTTCATCGGGTGGGGATTCACCTTCCTGCAAGACAATGATCTCAATCATTCAGAAAATGAGAAAGAGGCCAATTGTACACTCGCAATCATGACTTGTCCTGCACAAATTCTTATGAGAATATTACCTAGGCTGTATGGTATTATGTGGAAACTGAGAACGCCCCAAACGGAAATCAAACAACTTGGATGAATTGTTAGGAGTAAGTAATGGAACAGTGGTTCACAACTGCCGGTTTTACAGGGAGATTACAGGCGGTCCTCAAGATGGTTGAAAAAAAATTAAATAGTTTTTACAATGTAATATAAAAGTAATTTAAAAAGTTAATGTTGTACGAAATAGTCCGTAAAATGTGGTGATTGGAACTAGCTAGTTCCAAGCTGGAAGATGATTAGGAATCACTGCAATATAGGACAACTGGGAAAATATTTCAAGATCATACACTGATAAACATTATGGTAACATAAAAACAAAGTGTAATACCCTATCTAAAGCAAATACAAAATAATTTTGCACTGAACAACTTATTTGCTTTTCTGTCCCAGCATGGCCAGGTGGTTAGGGCGCTCGACTCGCAATCTGAGGGTCGCGGGTTCGAATTCCCGTCACACTAAACATGCTCGCCCTTTCAGCCGTAGAGGCATAATAATGTGACGGTCAATCCCAGTATTCATTGGTAAAAGAGTAGCCCAAGAGTTGGTGGTAGGTGGTGATGACTAGCTGCCTTCCCTCTAGTCTTACAATGTTAAATTAGGGACGGCTAGCGAAGATAATCCACGTGTAGCTTTGCGCGAAATTCAAAACAAACAAATAAACAATTTACTTTTCTTTAGCATTTTCTATAATAATGTATTGAAATAATAATAAATTGGCTACTTATTGGCATTTATTGTTTTTTGTAACTCTTTATACGAATCACCTGTGTGTTTCCATAATTATTTCCTATACTGTAGGTCAGGTGACACTGAACACACTTGTATTCATGCATCACATCGTGAAGATTTCAGAACAAATGTCTAAGCTGTCATTCTCAAGTAGTTCTTTCGTCTTCGTATAAATATGGAAATAATAAGAAGTTTAATTTATGGAACTGATTGTTTATTACTTCATTTAGATTTTCCATGTTGAAAAAGTACAAATTCTATTGTTACTTAAATATTGTTGTTGTTTGTTATTAAGCACAAAGCTGCACAAAAGGTTATCTGTGATCTGCCCACCACGGGTATCGAAATCCGATTTCTAACAGTAATACTTAAATGTAATTAAGTACTTTTTCTGTCACCTTTAAAAATACAATCTCATAAGTATTTATACACACTGTTCTTATTATCACATTACAAGTTTAGATTTATATACTCACAGGTGGTCCAGGTTCTCCTGGAATTCCTGGTTCTCCCATTTCACCTTTAAGACCCTGAAAACAAGGTTTTAGATACTATTAGAAGTCATTAAATTATCAGAATCTTATTTTAGTCAAACCCATATTTTAAAGAAAGTTTGTACAGGATAAGAACCAATATTAACTGAATACGTGTTTAAAGAAAACCTGAATTATATATAATGGTTGGAGACGGCTTGAATGGGTAAGGAAGAAAAACTTTAATATAAGTTTAACATAACAGCAAATGTACAACGTTTCGACAAGGTTTTGTCATCATCAGGTACCTCAGTGGGTTCCTCGTCATCGAATCTGAATTATATATATGTAACCCATATTAAGGGAACTCAAGTGTTAAAGAGAACCTGTATAATATACGGAATCCATACTTTATAGAAAATCTTTATAATATGGAACACGTATTATAAAGAGAACTTGTACAGCATGAGGAACTGACGCTTAATTGAGCCAATCATCATAGTACGTGTTACCAAGAGCGTCGAGAGCCAGCACGAGCCCCGGGGCAAACATCCTCGCCGGGTCCCCTTTCTCTTTATTAACATTTTCAAGAATTTATTAAAAAGAAGATCCTAAATTAGGGCAGCAACGAGCTCATAAACCAGACAAAACCATAGCAGCTACACGGGTCTGCGTGTTACTTTCGTGTAAAATCTTGAAAAGTGTAATGAATGACAATCTTGTACAATTAAATGTGATTCAACATGTTTATTATTTTTATATAGACATCATTATACCTTTAAAACGTTTCTGTGGAAAAACGATCCATGCAGCATGTGATGCTAATCACAGTATTTAGACATGTGTATAATAATTAATTTATTCTCTCCATTTATATTTTTAAAACTCTATCTAAACACAGTGGCAACATCTAAAATATTGTTAATCCAGCTGTTCTTAATTGTTCATGGAGGAAATGAGACATATAAGTGGGTCAAATCCAAAATAATGAAAATTAGATAAAGGGACGTCATTAACTTGAGGGAACAACGACACTTTACAGAGGCACTTTACAAGTACTGGTCCTGTAATAATGTGTTATTAGTGATGCTTTAGTACGTATATTTGATAGCTTTTCAACATATCTATCTCTATGCAGCAACATCTTTCACTTTACTTCTAAGAATTAATACTTAAATATCTTTTGTTCTACCCTCCAAACAAAGTAACACAAAAATGATAAGTTATTGTATCAACATTTAAGTGAATCACACGATGATTTTTTATGTTGTTCTTCGGTACTTACAACGAAGAAGTATGATTCCAGTATTCAAAATTTAGAAAGAAATTCAATGCTCTATATCTATAACCGCTCGATAGCCAGTAATCTTTATCGTCTTAATTAAGATGATTGGTTGCAACACCAAAAGCAGCGACGTCACAACTACAACACTAATTACGAATTGACGGATGATATTGTTACTCTCTGGTCGTTTGTTAACTTCCCGCAAAAACTCCTCCCGAGGTACTTCAGCGATACAAGTCCTTTCTTAAATAAAACTAGTTTATTCTTCCTC